GCCCTGATATGAATTGGGGAAGGGACTCCACATTGTTTTTTTATTGTAACATTGAACAACATAAATTAATTCACAATGACATTCTATAACAATTTCAGATGCATTCTAAATTTTCGTCATCGTAAAATTCTGATATGTTCAGATTTGTTATATTTTCCTTTGGAATTTCAGATGCATCCCAATGTCCGAATTTGCCGATATTTGTCCGAATATGAATTCGGAACAAAATGAACCGCTAATGTCTAGTGAGAATGGACTTTTCCTGGAGTAGTAAAATTTTCCAAGTTCAAAGTCACATTGCAAGGGAATAAAATATAACTTGTGCAAAATAAAAACAGTGCAAGTAAGCATGTAAAATGCTTGATTTTTTTTGCTTTTACCTGCAATTTTTTAGTTGGTGACAAGGTCTCTTTAATATTTTTATCTTTAGATGAAATGTGTGCAAACATACTGACAGGTTAATCAGCTTTGACTCAAACTGATTCAAGTGGAAGATTTTGTTTGACCTGAGATAAGGATTTTAAAATGAAAGATCCTTTGGAGAAAAGTCTGATGTGATGGATTACTTTTCTCTGTAAATTGTTCCGGTAAATAGGCAGATCTTTAAACATTATGACAATTGAATGCTTATTTTCATCAGGAAAGTCTACATGATTGAGGTAACCCCAACACAATGGACAATATCAGTGTAAAAGAATTACTTAGGCTTTGCTGGAATTTTAAGGGTCTATTTATAAACAATTCACAGAGACATTTTGCTGGATGGAGCTGTGGAACATAAGAAATAAATACTTATTTCCTATGCTCCTTACTCCTTCTGGTGACCATAATGCTTTATTACATTTAACCTGATGTGTTGCAGCCGGGAAAGATCCTGACAATATTGTTGGGGTCCACTCTGCTGCCTGATTGACAGCCGGCTCTGCCTCTTTAGAGTTAGAGCCAGCTGCCCAAAGTCTATTCCTCCAGTTTGTGCTGGAGGAACAGAGAGCGGAGGAGGAATCCCTGCAGGTAGTGGTGGCTGACAGTCACTCTCTGCAGGGAGGAGACTGTGAGCTCCCTGAAGAAGCCATATTTGAACATTATCCAGAGACGCCGCCGTCTTCTCTGGGCCATAGCTCATTTAAAATGATCTGCCACAAAGTGGAGAACTGTTCTGTGGTCAGATGAATCAAAATGTACAATTCTTTTTGGCAACCATAGGCACTGCATCCTCCGGACTAAAAAGGAGAGGGGCATTCAGGCTTCTTATCAGCGCTCAGTTCAAAAGCCTGCATCTCTGATAGTATGGGGGTGCATTAGTGCATATGGAATGGGCAACTTGCACAGCTTGAAAAGGCACCATCAGTGCTGAAAGACATATCCAGGCTTTAGAGAAGCATATGCTCCCATCCAGACAACGTCTTTTTTCAAGGAAGGCCTTGCATATTTCAGCAGGACAATGCTAAACCGCATACTGCATCTATGACAACACCATGGTTTAGAAGAGTCTGGGTGCCTAACTGGCCTGCCTGCAGTCCAGACCTTTCACCATTTGAAAATATTTGGCGTATCTTGAAACGGAAAATACAACAAAGAAGACCCAGGCATTTAAAGAGTATATAAAATAGTAATACAGAACTAAACAGTTAAATCACCTGTACGTCCACATGCCTGTTTGATTGTCCAGCAGAGGAAATTAAGCAGATAACTAAACAGTAAGCTAAGCATTAACTGAATAATATCAATAAAGAAATAGTCCCTGTACATCAATACATAACGTATGTACATCAATACATCGCTCCCAATTATCTGCCTCTTACTTTTCAACTGTTCATTTTTTTGTGTATATTACAGAACTGTATAAATAATTGTACTATTTAACAGTTAAAGCTCTTGACTTCTTGACTGACAACTAGTGATGCACCGATAGCGATACCAGTATTGGTGCCGATACTGAGCATTTGCACGAGTGCTTGTACTCACGCAAATGCTCAGATACCAAAAATCGATATAGACGCTTTAATTATTCAAATTGAAGCAGCTGCCTTAGATCTCGCGCTTGCTGGGGATATCACAGCATCCTTCTGGGAACCATGTGGCACCTCTTTACAGCACTTCTGCCGGCCCACACATCTCCCCCTCCTGAGACCCTCCGCACGTCTCCCCCTCTTGAGACCCTCCACCCGAGACATCAGGCCAGCACCCCGAAGCAAAGTGGCAGCACAGAGTATGTACTGGTATGATGCAGCAAAACTGCACCTTAACTCCACAGCTACTTTAGAAATATTGCCTGCTGTTTCTGTCCTGTGCTTTATTCTGCAATGCTGATTAATATATTACTGGGATTTGTAGTCCTCTATAGCTGATGGTATTATTCTACATTGCTGTATAATGTATTGCTGGGATTTGTAGTCCTCTATAGCTGGTGCCATTCTGCACTGCTGCATAATGTATTGCTGAGATTTGTAGTCCTTTATAGCTGGTGGCATTCTGCATTTCCATATAATATATTGCTGAGATTTGTACTGCTGTATAGCTGGTGGTATTCTGCATTGCTCTGTAATGTATTGATGAGATTTGTAGTCCCTCTACAGCTTGGAGTCAGTGGCAGAACTACCAGGGTCTCAGTGGTTGCAGGTGCGATCAGGCCCTGGCACTCCACCACTGTCCTAAAATCATTAGTCTATATTGTTTTAGAAAAATTGTCACATGACACTTAAAAAAAGGTATCTGTAATTGGTATCGGTGAATACTTGAGGAATGTATCGGTACTCATACTCGGTCTGGAAAAAATGGTATTGGTGCATCCCTACTGACATCTGAAGGCTCGCATTGCTTATTTGTAAAACTGAACTCAGTGCGCATAAAATGAATTAAAATATATTTCTTAATAACAGCAAAGGATATAAATCATGGTCTTTTTCAAAATAAATTTGCTGTAAGGGTCCCTCTTTCCTATTTGAGAATGTTGGGAGTTATGCAAATATCCACTACATTAGCAGTAGGGTCTATCATAACAGCCCCAGAGGTCAGTCAAAATATATTTCACAAAATGCTGATGAAATAGCAGCTCAGGACATGACATGCAAGGCTTATTCATACAGTAACAACATTTACACATGTTCCTTTTGTTACTGCACTTTCTTCCCACTTTGTGAGAATTGTGATACTCATCCTCTCAGTAAGTGTAACAGTATATGAATAAACTGATGATTTATATAAAACAGCTTTGTATGACCATTTGCCAACTCTAGACAGCTACAGGCACTGCAGGGTGCTTGTGAAAGTGAACCAAAACGCAAAAACCGAAGATCTGATATGTTATAGGAAACATTAAGAATTGTTAATTCCTAAGCAGTACCCTGAAAAATTAAATTTTGTCTTGAATTCCCCCTTATAAATAGCAGAGCACTTTTGGTTTGTGAGTATGCCTAGGTACTCCTTTGCCTACAGCCTCATATCTGTATATCTGTGGTGTGAGATCTAAGGCACTGGTGTCTCCTACTGCTAGTTTCAATACATTTGCAGAGAGATTTGATGATGCCACTATTGTGCTGCTCACTGTTCTCCTTACTGGAGGCTAACATAAGGAAGCAAACATAAGGAAGCAAAGCCCTACCTCTACCAAGATGGCAGTCTCCACACAGAGACACAGTGCAGAACAAAGCAAGTCACTATTGTGGAAAAGATCAGCAGTGAAACCACAGTACTGGTGACTTGTTCTGTCCCCTCTGAAATTCTTTTTTTTTTTGGGTACAGCTTCCAGAATTCCATTCTTTAAATTGCCCAGCTGCAATTTAAAGGCGCAGCTGCAAGGGGGCACAGCCAGGGCCAGACCTGTGCCTGCTGGACCTGCCCCGCGGGGGTAAAAGGTAGGCGGGTGCTTTGGGATTTGGATGCAGTGCTGATCGCCTCACATTACCATCTCACTCACCATCTCACTCATGTGCAGCTCTGCCGATTATTGGCTGGTTCTCAGGTGTGGGGGGAGTTGAGAGCGGTTGCAATGCTGATCGCCTCAGTTTACCATAGAGGTGACCAGCGGACACACACGCAGCACAGCTGCGTATTGGCTGGTTCCCAGGAGGGGAGGAGTTGAGGGCGGCTGCAGTGCTGATTGCTTCACTTATTAGCTGATGCATGGAGTTCCCAGCAATTGGCTGTCAGCTAATGCTACTTAAAGCCAGCTGAAAACTCTGTGCACCAGCCAATAAAGCATCACACCTTTGACCCTCACATGATTCCTCCCTCTATACCCTGTACGCGGAGCTAAAAATTGCTGAGAGATGGCAAGGAAGACTTGGGGATGAAGGAGACATGGGGATGAACTAAATATGTAATTGGGAGACTTTTCTGCCATAACCTTCTCCATTCCCTTTATGAAGAAAGCAATTGGTATCTTGTACGTGTAGTTAGCATTTCAATTCAGGGAATTTTATTATGTATATATTATATATATATATAATGAATGCAATGGGGAGGGCCTATTAATGTCCACATAAAAATGTAGGCAATGTGGCATATGGGCATAATAAAATTGGAGAAAACAGCCTATTTATTTACTTTCCTCAAAATAACTTTGGGGGCCACAATTTTCTGTTCTTGCCTCGGGTGCAGAAAAAGCTGGCTATGACTCTGCTCTAGAAGGCCAAAGGTTGGCCACTTAGAAAAAAAGCTGAACATATGAGGAGCCCTGAATAAAAAAAGAAGGAGTAAGGGATTGTGGACAAGCAGGGTGAATGGGGCATTTGAAGTTTAGAAAAAACACTGTTATATGTGATTATTGTCTAGGTTTCTGGTTACTAAAACATAGGAGCTATTTTACTGCATTCATATCACTGCTTTCACAGAAATAAGAATAGATTTCAACGAAACCAGAAAAGTTATTGTACTTTAATACATATGTTCGGTTATCTAAAAGTGATGCAGGTCAGTTTTAAGGACACACTGCAAGAACACATACAAGATACACATTTTAACACTGGAAATGCATGCTGCACATAGAAAGAAATACTTACAACCATTCCAGCTTGTGGAGATCCCGAAACACTCCCGGTTTAAGGGTGCTTATTGCATTATTGCTTAAATAACTGAAAAATATACAGAGTTAAAGTCCTATTGGGAATTTCCTTATACGGTATACAGGTATATGCATATCCTTATCATGTATAAGAAATAACCTTCATTATCTCATTTTGAGTTATCAAAACTGTCTTATAAAGTAGGGAAAATTATAATTTACTAAATCGAAGAATTTTCTTTTAATAGACATTTCAATGCAATAATGTGTAGCTTAAAAAGAGCTTAAAGTACAACTAAAGCTAAAACCTTTTTTTTTTTTTTTTTTTAGTTTTGGATAGAGTGGAGGGGTATTAGAACAACTGTCAGGTTTTTAATTCTGTCTGTGTCCATGTTAGGGACTTGTGACAGTTATCACTGAAAGTGACAAAAAAAATCCTAAATTTTGAATGATCATCAGCATAGGAATAGACGGGAAATCGCCCTATGGGAACACTAGTTCTGGTGACCTTGCTGACCTCCAGGGATTTTCTTCTCTTTGGAGTGATTTCTTCTTATTTCCTGTTGTGGTTATTGGACAGGAAGTAAAAGGAAATCCCCCCTAATGGGACACAGATGGTGAAAAAGTTTACTCTATCCAAAACTAAAAAGTTTTGCTTTTAGTTCTACTACATCCTGGCCAGAGCAATTTCTTACTATTTGCAAACACTTGATAAAATCTGAATTTTTGGATAGAAAAGAGCTTCAGGCCCTCAAACAATTATACAATTTCTGAAAGCAAAGGCCCTGTAGAATAAAAAAATGCTTGTTGCAATTTTTTATGTTGCACGGTATTAGCACAAATGTTTATCAAACTAATATTATTAGGATGAAATACACTAAAATGAAATTTAGTGCACAGAAGCAGAATAAAATACCCAATTTTTTGGTAAAATATAAAAGACGGGGTCACACCGGGTAAATAGATACCAAACATGTCAAGCCTTAAAATTGCATGTGTCTGTGAAACAGCAACAACCTACAATACCCAGAATTTCCCATAGGCGATGCTTTAAACGCTTTTACTCCTCATCAGTTTAGTGTTACCAGTGATTGATGGGCCTAAATTTAGTGCTCTCACTTCGACATTCATGATGATATTTAACAGGCGCACCCGGCGCGTGTTTGCGTTATATGTGCATGCACGTGAGGGGCAGGGGCCTTTAAAAATTATTTTTTTGCACTTTTTATTTTTTTTATGTTACTTTCATTTTTTATTTTTTTTCACTCAACTTTATTCTTATCACAAACGGTGACTAAGAAGCCCCCTATGTAATAGCAAATATAATGTGACAGGTCCTCTTTATGGAGACATCAGGGGTCTTTCAGACTTGTAATGTCACCTAGGGACCCCAAAGAAGATGGGGAAGCAGAGATCTGCTTCCCCAGCTTCTTCTCCTGCCTCTAAGAGCTGGAGAATGTAAACAGTGACACCGGAAGTGATGCAATACACATTACTTCCGGGTCCAGTGATTGGAGGAGAGATCAGCGGCTGGAAGCCTACTGATCTCTCTCCGATCAGTCAGAGGAGACTTACCATGCCGGTCCCGGGGCCGCACAGGGGACAACGAAGCCCAGGGAAGCCAGCGGTGGGGGCGGAGGGCACACAGCACCGCACCGTATAAGCGATCCGACAGCTGTGCAGCCGCTGAATTGCTTGTATTTAAACAGCAATCACCTGCTGTTTTTAATGATACTAACAACACGGCTGCAGCCGCAGCCGGGTTCTTGGTATAACCTCTTCAGACAGAATGTTTTTTTACAATGGAGTGTTTAAGGAAGTTTTCCAGAACAAGATAATATAAATTCATTGAAACAGTTGCCCAAAGGCATAGCTATCTTGTAAAAACTCCAACTCCTATGCTGTTTCCCATCTCAGTGGGCTTTCCAGCCTTAGCGTTAGGTCTCATTCACACGAGAAAAGGCCGGCACGTACAGCTCCGTGCACGGCCGTATTGGGCAGCTACCGGGAAGGACAGGTGCTGCGTGTGATTAGTACGTAGCCCCTGTCCTTCTCTATGGGAGTACGCCGCCCTACGCTCACCCGCCCTGCATGTCCGTGCGGGTGCAGGTGTTTGTACTTGTATGCTGAAAGGATGTATCCTGTCTGTGTCCGAGCAGGGACACCCGCACCTGTACGGACCTGCACTTGGGGTGAGCGTAGGGCGGGTATGGCCGCATACTCCCATAGAGAAGGACAGGGGCTGCGTACTAATCACATGCAGCACCTGTCCTTCCCTGGAGCTGCCCGATACGGTCGTGCACGCATCACGGAGCTGTACGTGCCGGCCTTTTCTCGTGTGAATGAGACCTTACACTAACAAGACACAAAAGGCACAAACGGAGGAGGGACAGTTTGCCCACTCTGCATAATTAAACCTAGAATAGACACCTAAAAGAGTGAGGAAAATTGAAAAAGTGACTGGCTGGTGTAGGGAATTGTTTCAATTTGCTATATTTATCATAAAACTTGTATAGGTAAAATCCCTTATAATACAGGATGTTACTCACAGCTTTGTTAGGTTGCGGAGTCCTCTAAATGCATTCACAGATACAGTTCTAATTTTATTATGCTGCAGATATCTGGAAAGATAAAAAATACAAAACTTGTGGAAGATGCATCATGCTGAGATATTAGTGAGCACTAGATGGAGCTGAAGAATACAAGAAATTAATGCATTACATTTATGACCAGTACCAAGGTTAGAATTTGAATTCTATGCAATATTATACAGGACCGTTCTGTGTGCTATTTTAAAATCAAGTCTTCTATTGTCACTGGGTGATCACATCCTGTATCTATTGTCTGGACAACATGTTATCTGGACGCCAGTGAAATCCCCTTGTCCTTGAAACAGCACTGCATGCTAATACATTCTAGATGCATTACCTAAAGTTTAAAACTGGTAAAGGAAGGCTGCAAGGGAAGCAGATCAGTTACAAGTGGAAAAATTTGTGTATTTGAATATTTACCAAATAGTTTTCAACAAATTAAAGCGTTGATTACTTTTCAAAGTAAAAAAAAAAGTCTCATTCACAGACAGCGTGCACCTCCATGCACCCGGAAAGGACAGGTGCTGCATGTAGCTGCCTGCAGCCTTTTGTACATTTCTATGATAGGACATGGCTGCATACGACTACACACGAACATGCTCATCCGCACAGGTATCTGTATCCATACAGATGCATGCCGTTGGACGCACGCTGTCTGTGGCCAAGGATGTTCATCTATACCTGTACGGATGTGCATGATCTGGTTGGTGTGTAGCCATGTCCTCTCCCC